CATCTTCTTTTGCCAGATTTGGCATGCTGCAAGAGTTTTTGATTATGGTAAATTATTATTAGTATTGTTTTCCTTTGAAATTATAAATTATGGATGTAGGGCTATAAATGGGTCAGGTTTGAGTCTGGTTTGGCAAGCTCCGGATCCAGTCAGAAACATGCACGGTGAAGTTCACTTTGAATTGTACCAACCTCACTATGTCTTCGGTCTACCCAGACCCAAATTCTAAAGGGAAATGTTTCTATACTTCCCCTGCAGCATAGAAATTCTATCCTCCCCATACCATCCAGTTGTCCAATTTTGATTAAGAGAGCCACTCACCGTTTGATCTTAGATCCTACGTTTCAAAGTATTTTATTTTTAATTTTTTTTATACAAATTCTATGAATATGAAATTTCGTATGTGTCATCTTCTCATTGGGCGCACTTATAAAAAATATTAAAAATAATTTTCGATAAAATATAATGACCAAAATACCCTTTGAAACTTTCAAAAATATTTTGGTCATTTTATTTTATTGAAAATATATTGTTTATATTTTTCGCTCATGCGAGCTTAATAGAGGAATGGGCATCCAAAATTTGGTGTCAAAATAGTTTATAGAAAAAAAATTAAAAATAAAATGGTGTAGATTGTGATTGGGGCAATCTTAACCCTCCATTCAGAATGGATGGTTGGATAAGGGGGAGTATACAAGTTTTATGCGATAGGAGAAGCATAGAAAGCTTGCGCAATTCTAAATATATTCATATACATATGGATGGGGCTGACTCTAATCCCAATATATAGCCTAGACCCAAACATAGGAATATAAAATGTATTTTAATTTTTATTTCCTTTTCTATACATCATATTAAGCTCAAATTTTGTCACCATCACAAACTTAGATAATGATCATTTTTCTCACCATCACAAACTTAGATAACATATTAAATAAATAATTTCAAGGTAGTTTGGTAATTTTACTCGCTTTAAATATTTTTATAGGTGTATGATGGTGAGAAGTATGGACATGCAAAATTTGAATGTAATAAGATATATAAAAAAAAATTATATTTTATATTCTAAAAAAAGAGAGCTGTTTGAAAATTATGAAATATATAAGACTATTTCTAAATACAAATATGAAATTGCATTTATCTATAGATTTCCCTATTCTAAAAGGTTAACTGATTCTATAACATTTCCTGTTAAACCTCTCTCTCATATGCTATATGCTGTATTGCAGGTTATCAGCCAAACGGTCAAGCTCCAATATCTTCCTCTAGCAAAATGTTGAGATCTGAAAATGGCGTGGAGGAATACTCACCTCCTCGAGCACTTTCCACTGAACAAATACCTCTCATTGTAAACGATTTCCGACTCGCAGCAAGAAATGCCATCGCTGCAGGTAAAGAGCTCTCAGACCTTAACACGAGATGACATCTTGTTCATCTTAGATGAGAAAATATCATTAAAATGGTCAAATCACTTCAAAAAATAAATGAGACAGTTAGATAATGGATTTTACAAGTAGTTATTTTTCATGTCTTTTCATTTTCCAAAGTTGCAATTTTTTAAGGTCTGTAACCCAATAATGGATTTTACGAGTAGTTATTTTTCAAGTCTTTTCATTTTCCAAAGTTGCACTTTTTCCAGGTCTGTAACCCCCCCCAACATTGACAGGAATAACATTTTAGTAATTTGACGTACCAGGGGTGACTTATTTGTAAGCCATGTAACAAGTACACATGTGTTAATCATTTTTTTGCACGTAGTGATGTACCAAGCACACGACACTTGTTTTACTCAATAGAAATCTAAGTACTTTTTGACTTTTCATCTTGAAATATCACTGTAAAGGTATTTATTATTTCCTGACATCCCACCTTACTTACATGTCACATGTGAAAGACCACATTTGAGATTGGTGTTTCTTACTCAAAAAAAAAAAAAAAATTTCTTATCAAATGTCATCACAGGTATCCATTTCTTTGTGACATTGTTTTAGAAATCAATGAAAACACATAGAGGCCCTAGGCCCACTTACTAACCAATTACAAATTCTTATGTTGATTCAACTTACAGTGTTGTCTGCAATGTGAAAGCATTAAGGTTTAAGGCTGTGTTTAACAAAGCTTTCGGAATGCATTTCGGCACGTAGCACATGACGTGTTGCAGTCAACACTAGCTGGTTTGGGACACCCAATCTCATTATCCAGTAATGCAAAATGCTGCATCTTTTTGCATTCTGCTTTGAAAAGGAGTCAGAAGCTCTTTGTTTCTCTAGTATACGCCACACAATCGAGTGTGGCCGCTAATCTGTTACGCACATAACCCAGTATGTGTATCGAATTCAGCCTTAAATTTGGAAGAATTGAGCTGGATTTCAAATAGATTACGTATGTTCTGACCCTTCAACCCTTCTAGACAGACAAATGAGCCTTTTAACTTTTATTTTCTAAAACTTTCACTCAAAATTTGAAAAGCTCATCAACTTTTTGTGAGGTAATTGTTTAACTCAGTGAGTTGACTTGGTTTTCACAATGAACAAGTCAGCACCTCTTATTTTTCTCTAATTCCCCTTTTGGCTTTTCAATACAGGCTTTGACGGAGTTGAAATTCATGGTGCTCATGGTTTCCTAATAGATAAATTCTTGAAGGCAGTGTGAACGATCGGACTGACCACTATGGTGGGTCCTTAGAGAACCGTTGTTGGTTCGCCCTGGAGATAGTTGAAGCTGTGGTTAAAGAGATTGGAGCAGATAGGTCGGCATAAGGTTCTCACCATTCGCATCTTATAATGAGGCTGGAGTCTCAAACCCTGAAGCCCTAGTCCTCTACATGGCTGAGGCATTGAACAAATACAATATCCTTTATGCTCATTTTGTTGAGCCAAGAATGGTTACACCTGGTGATGGAGTTGAGACTCCTCATAGTCTTCTACCAATGAGGAGGCCTTTAAGCGAACTTTTATTTCAGCTGGTGGTTACAACAGAGAAGATGGTAACAAGGCTATCAGAGAGGGAACCACTGATCTTGTTGCTTACGGGCGCCATTTCATCGCTAATCCTGATTTGCCAAGAAGATTTGAACTCAATGCTACTCTAAATAAGTATGATAGAGCTACTTTCTATAGCCCTGATCCAGTCATTGGCTACACTGATTATCCTTTCCTGTGATCTTCATTCTGTTTAAATCTTTGATATGGAACAGATGAAAGATGATAGGAAAAAAGAGGGAAGAACATTTTATGTAATGGGCATTGTAATATTTGCTCTTCTTTCTCCCCATATTGTTCTTTTCAATAAGTTGTTGTTTTTTTTCTTTTTGAATATTTGATATGGAATTATTGAAGAATGGGAGAGAATAAGCCTTTACTTGTTGGAGATAACTCTTCTCTTTTCTTCTCTTATTTTTGTTTTAATAAATAAGGCCAAAGGTTTATAGGGCAAGTCCTCATATTAATTTTCACATCATACCACAAACCCCTAAATGTATATGACTTGCATAGAAGTGTGATTGCAAGCAAACAGAAGGCACACTTTGTCATAAGTTCGATTGTTAGCACTGAACTACCCTACCAGAAAGAGAAAATATGAAAAAAATAAACAGATTTCATTCATGTAACATAAAATAGCCTAATCACAAGCAGCTCAAGCTGCTAAATTTGAACCGTTTTCCTTAATAATCTGAGATCCTTAGCCCTACTCTGCACATGTAAGAAATGCATATGACCCAACCGTAGAAGCCCAAGACCTAAGATATAATTCATTGACAATGCAGGAAGGACAAGCTTGAATGACTTGTCCAAGATAAAACAAGTTGCTGTTATTGTTAAACAGAGAAAGCGCCAAACTAGCATATTACCCCATCAAACATCTTTTATTGAAAATGAGAAGGGAAATAAGATTAAATAAGAAATAAGAAAAATTCCTCATTGGTATTTGAGCAAGTGTCAATGACACAATCACCAATCCTTCAGTGGTGCAGCTTGGTGGAGCAGCTCAGTTGTCTGCTTTGGGAGTCCGCAATGTCTCCACTAATGCTTCGGGTCTAGAGGTTAAGGGGAAAATTTCCAGAATGCATTATCAGGCCGGCTGTCTCGTAGCCACTTGTCCTGCCAATAAATGGATTTGCTCCGATTTGCCAAGAAGTATTCTTGAGTGGACCATGAAATAAAGTCGGCAGACATTGAGAACCATCCAAATTGCAGATGACGCAACCTGTCTGTCGAGACCCCTGATCACCTTTCCCATATCGACTAGCCCATATTTACTGCTCTGGAACCCTTTCCAAAGGTGTGTGGGGTTCGGCCACTTCGGTGCTGGGTATGCGTTGTGTAATGAGCTAAATTCCTATTATAGTCATTTTATTCATTAGAATACTTAAGTGAATACTTAAGTGAACATTCGATGTCCAACTCAAGTTGACTCTTTATGGCCATGATAGAGTTGGCTATCGAGCTCCGGTTTGATAATGTGGAATGAAGCCTTTACAGCTACAGGATTTGTACAATATAGCATAAGATAATTCTTGTGGTGGATCAACTTTCACCTTATCATTCCTATGACTATGGGTCTCCACCTCTATAAAAATTTATAGCTCTTGGTATTGTTGTTCGAATATAAACTGGTATACTAGTTTTTTATAGCTCTTGGTATTGTTGTTCGAATATAAACTGGCATACGAGTTCAAATTAGTGAGTGTAATATCCACCACTTCATGTGTGGGCAAATAGTCTTTTAGGGTCGAAAACTTTTTAACTCACGACATCTTAGTGCTTTTCTCTACACCAAGTAGAGAAAACATGGAGTCAAGAAAGAAAAACACTGCCCTACCTTAAAAATGGGATATTTAGCATAATGTAATTTTTGTTTTGGTATAGGAGGTTAAAAGCCATCTGCCAATAATTTCATCAAAATGTCAATATTAATGCATAATAAGCAGCTAAGTCAGAATGTTGAGAAATCAATTACACAATTTTTAGACAAACTTTGGTTGCAATTCGATCACATACTTAGCTATTAATATGTAGAAACAAATATTAAAAGGAGAAGGGCAAAAGAACCTCCATCTGTAAAATGAGACTGTTACCATAAAATTGGTACATGATTATTACATTAAATGATCGCATTTCGAATTTGAATCCTTTGATATTTCAAACAAAATGCCAGAGTTCCATCACTCCTCCCCTCATCAGTAGCTTAAAAAGGGGTAATCTGTATAACCCACAACTGGATCAGGGATATAGAAGGTCTCTCTGTTATACTTGTTCAATGGAGCATTCAGTTCAAACCTCCTTGGCAAGTCCGGGTTAGCCAAGAAAAGGCGCCCGAAAACAGCAAGATCAGTGGCTCCTTCGGCAATAGCTTTGTTACCATCTTCTTTAGTGTAACCCCCAGCTGAAATGAAAGTCCCCTTGAATGCCTTCCTCATGGGCAAAAGACTATGCGGAGTCTCAGCTTTTTCACCAACTGTAACCATTCTAGGCTCCACAAAATGAGCATAGACAATATTGTATTTGTTCAATGCCTCAGCCATGTAGAGGCCAAGGGCTTCAGGGTTCGAGTCTCCAGCCTCACAATAAGATGCAAATGGTGAGAGCCTTATCCCAACCTTATCAGCTCCAATCTCTTTAACCACAGCTTCAACTATCTCCAGGGCGAAGCGACAACGGTTCTCTAAGGACCCACCATAGTGGTCAGTCCGGTCGTTCACACTATCCTTCATGAACTGATCAAGAAGGTATCCATGAGCTCCGTGGATCTCGACTCCATCAAAACCTAGATCAAATTTTGAAAACTCATCAAGAGATATTCAACGAAATTTTAAACAATTGATGGAGAATCTGCTGCATTCATGTAAATACATATCTAAGGTGAACTTATGGATTCATACTAGTCGAACGTTTTTTAATATAAGAACAGTATTTGTCAAATATGATAAGTCTTTCCATTAGAACATATGATCTGTGAAAAGTTCTCTTTTTTTGGTAGTTCAGTGGTAGGAATTGAACTTGAGATTTAACATAATTAAAATAGCAATTAAGACTTGGGCAATATTTGTGGGATGCACCATGGCCTTTTATAGTTGCACACAAACTAGCAAACAAATCTTATTCCTCTGAAAGGAGGACCATAGTTGACACTTTTAATGGATTGAAACATCCTTATATGCAAGTGAATCTATGTGCAAGACATTAATATATAAAACCAAGAACTATTACAGATAAAACTAAAATGCCTTTAACATAATGAAAATAGCCTAGAAAAAGATGCTTCATTACTTAGAAAATAAGTTTGATAGTAATCCAAGTGCTCAAAGAGTTACCGGCATCAATTGCATTTCTCGCTGCGAGTCTGAAATCGTTGACAACAAGTGGGATTTCCTCAGTGACTAGAGCTCGAGGCGGAGAGAACTCTAACTTATTTATCTGGTTAGCATCCACTTGTGGGCTCAATTGCTTGCTGGTACAGGAGATTGGAGCTTGCCCATTTGGTTGATATCCTGCACATATAATATAGCACAGAAATATTTAGTAAGAAAACAAAAATAATAATTTGATAAAAAATTAAAGAACCAAAAAGAAGATTTAATTAATCCTGTCCAGTTTGAATGGAGAAGGGGGGGGGGGGAGGGGGCTCACATATAAATTCTTGGTTGAGACAAAGAGCTCCACACTCAAGCCCAAAAGAAAGTCAGTAAAAAAAACCTCAAGTAAAAGAACCATGGATTTCCCAAAAGAATATCTTGTGATTCTTCACAAGAAAAATCACAGGTATGACAATGGTAACCTTTCTTTGTCCCACATAAATTACTATGGAAAAGGTTAACGCAGACCGCATCTTTTTATGGCCTCCGCTTGAAGGACACGGAAAAAATTTATTAAATGCTGAAAAATCCTTAAATTGAACATCTCAACATCGATAATTATGGACCTAAAAAAACAATGATTTTAGCCTGAAAATAGTGTATCTTGTAACACGTTTGACCATCCATTTTCAAGCATTATAGATCCACCATATTTGCATCAATCTTTAAGGTGTAAGATTTTATAATCAGGCGAATGATATGGCTGATTGTATTAAGAAAGTGGCAAAATAAGTTTAGGAGAATATCGAGAAATTCCAAAAAGGAAACTGGATAGTGGAGTGAAGAGGTTCAGAAGGCTATTAGCGAAAAACAATCATATTATAAAACTTGGCAGTATAATAGAAATGATCAAAACTTAAAAGAATAGAAAAACGCTAAGAAAAGTGTTAAACAAATAGAAAGACTAAACTTAATGCATATTATAGTCAATACAATAAATTGGGAACAAGAAAAGGTAAAAAGATGTTTTCAAATAAGCAAAAATGAGAGAAAAAATGTAGGAAACTAGACCATATTAAATACAATAAGAGTGATGATCGAAGCTTCTTGGTGAAGAATAAAGAGGCCAATGAAAGGGGGAGAGTTTATTTTTAAAAATTATTAAATAACTAACACAATCGAAACATAGCAGTAGAAGGAACCATTGGCATAATTATACATGAGGCAAGGAGGTCATAGAGACATTTGTAGGATTAGGATATCGGAAGTGAAAGAAGCTTTGAAAATGCTACAGATAGGAACAGCGTTAGAACCAGATGGTATTCCGATAGAGGTTTGAAAGTGCATGGGGGGAGATTGGCATTGATTAGCTGCCCAAGCTGTCCAACAAGGCATTGAGAACAAAAAAACTGCCAGATGAATGGAGGAAAAGTATTGTGGTATTTATTTACAAGAACACATGAAACATACAGAATTGTTCGAACTATCGAGGCAACAAACTTATTATGAAGCCTTGGAGAGAATGATTGAGCAACGACTAAGGCAGAAAATGAGTGTATCATAAAATCAATTCAGTTTTATGCAAGGGAGGTCAACAACCAAGCCTATTTTCCTACTTAGGCAACTGATTGAGAAATTTAGGCCAAAGGAAAAAGCCATCCACATAGTCTTTATTAATCTAGAGAGAGCTTATGATAGAGTACCTCGAAATTTGTTTTGGTGGGTGTTAAAAAATAGAGTATCTAGACATTACATCGACTTAGTGAGAGATGCATACAATGGAGCGCTTATTAGTGTACGAACAACAAGTGGATTGACGAGCTAGTTTTCAGTGACAATAGCTCTACATCAGGGGTCAGCATTGAGCCCATACCTCTTGTTCTTAGTTATGGATGACTTAACTAGGCACCTATAAGATGAGGTACCGTGGTGCATGTTGTTCGCAAATGACATAGTTTTGATCGATGAGACCCGAAATGGTGTCAACACAAAGTTAAAACTTTGGATGAATGCTCTAGAATCTAAATGTATTAAAATTAGCATGACTAAGACAAAGTATATAGAATGCAAGTTTAGGAGTAGAGACAAGGAAGTAGTTAAGATTGATAGCCAGGAAATACAAAAAGAAACGCACTTTCGATATCTTAGATCGATACTCCAAAAAAATAGAGAGATTGAAGAAGATGTCACACATAGAATTAGAGCTGGGTAGGCACAGTGGAGATATACAACCGAAATTCTATGTGATCGCCCGCATACCAGTGAAGCTGAAGGGCATATTCTATAGGACAACTGTGACACCAACTTTGCTCTATAGGATGGAATGTTTAGCAATAAAAAAACAATACACTCATAGAACGAGTGTAGCAAAGATGAGGATGTTGAGATGGATAAGTAGTAAGAGAAGAAGGGATAAAATTCGAAATGAATACATTCGAAAAAATGTAAGTGTGGCATCAATAGGTAATAAGATGAGATAGAGTAGACTTAGGTGGGCTGGTCATGGATGATGCAGACTCAATACATCACATGTTAGGAGGTGCGAGTTAGTTCAAGTGGGATGCTAAAAAAGGACAAGGGATAGGCCCAAAAGTACATGGTTGGAAGTAATGAGAAAAGACATGGGGACCTATGACCTTACTGAAGGCATGACCCTTGATAGAGTAGAATAGTGAACCAAGATTCGAGCAACCGAACCCAATTAATTGATAAAAAGCTTTGATGATGATGATTTTATGATCGGGGCCAAAAATAGATTTTCAAGCCATCACATGGGTTTTTGGTGCTGGAACTGCATTTTTCAGCAGTGCCTCAACATAACGTCCCACCTTCCATTCCCATTGTTAACATGTCCCAAAAAAAAAAAAAAAAAAAAAAAAAAAAAAAAGAATAAGAACTAAATTTTTCGATGGATTTTTTAGGTGCAGCATTACTTTTTATTCATAAACCCTCGGCCATAAGGTAACCGCACCCATGTACTACTGTACCCCCCAGTGACTTTGATCAAAATGTCCATTCGGCCCAATATCATAAGTATTCAACTTTTCTAACCAAGATCTATTTTTCCATAAATGAGACAGTACTGTGGCCCTACTGTTTCTTTCTTTTTCATTTAAGTAGATTTCAAGCATATTACATAGTGAATTCTAATTTTATTAGAACAAAGAGGCAACAAATAATGGGAAATACCATAGTTGGAGACCCTCCCAACATGCCAAATCTGGCAAAAGAAGACACCACCCTTTTCATGGACAGCATCAACAATGGGTTTCCATGCCTCAACCTGCTCCTTCGTCCAAATACCAGGTGTGTGTGGGTACCTGAATAGAGAGAGAGAAAGGATCACAAATATAATAAGAAAAATGCATAATATTAGGAATTCATAAGGTACCTCTCAGTCTATTATAACAATTTATTGCCACAAAAGTGTTTTGTTTTACTTCTTTTCAAGTTTCCAGACATACCCTTGAGCGGTGTCTGAAACACCAGTTGCTTCAGCAATGAGAAGTCCTCCTTTAGAGGCTCTCTGAGAGTAATATAAGATTGCATGGGGTTGAGGAACGTTGCCAAAAGATCTTTGCCTTGTTAATGGAGCCAATACAATTCTGAAAAAATAACGAAGTTAACAATTAGAACGCAATTGAAAAAGAAAAAGATCAATCTCATTTATGATTCTTTTTTAGGGTCTATAAATTTCTACAGGAAAGCAAGCCTCTAAATTGATACATGTTATATTCCCATGAGTAAAATTTGAGTTAGTTTTCTAAGTCACAATGTACTCAGCAGATCTTGTTAGATCTTCACCCACTTTAGGTCTACATCAAAATAGACAAGTGGGCAATCCGATCCAACACACCGATCCACATTTTAAAGGTCTTGTTGGATTTGCCAATCTGGCCAATCCAAATCGAAATTAATAGCTGGGCGATCCACCCCACCGATCCACATTTTAAGAGTCTAGTTAAAAATAGAGAGCTTTTATAAAATTAAGCACCCGTTTAGTAAGAAATTATTACAAACAATTTAAGGTTAACTTCTTTCATGAAGAAATTATTACAAACAAATTATAATAAGACTTGAGAGAAAACCCATTTTTATTAGGTTAACAAATTAGATTAGAAATTTAATGAAAACAAATCCCCACAATTAGTCCTAAAAGGAAAAATTTCATGGACCTAATTTACAAGATATGACTTGTATTTAGTTAAAAACTTCAAAACACAAGCTTTGCCTGTTTAAAAAGCAAATGGGGGTGGCAAAGGACCCGAACCCTACTTGGGACGCCGGGTATACCCGACATGGGTTTGGGTATGGGTCCAATATTTGAATCCGATGGGTCGGGTCTAAGTCCAAAACCTGGACTTGAATACTATTCGGATCTGGGTCCAAGTTCGGTTGGACCCGACCCATACCTGTAAATTGTTGGAGATTAAATACTTCAAGTTCTATTTGTTAGGGTATATTAAGGATTGTATACAATAATGGTTTAAAGAGCAGATCGGTGCCCCGGATCGAGCACCCCAAAAACCCATCTGGATCGGTGAATCGACGGTTCAGATCGGGAATCGATCGGATTCGGCAATAAAAATAATCCAAAAAATTATTAAAAATCATTATAAATGTTGGTTTTTAAGATTCCAATAAAAAATATGGGTACTACATTATTAACTTTGAGTTTTTTTCATCAATATGTGAATATTGAGATGTTCTTTCCTATATGCACTAATGTTAACTATAAAATTTATATTACACAACATCACACAAAAGAAAGATCATAGAATTATCATGAATGAAATATCTTATCTTATCATCTAATTTAAAACATATTATTGACAATTGTCAGAAAAAATAGTACATTACATAATTTATAATGCAAAATTAATAAATAAAATACAAGATTTGGTTATCAATGTAGAAATTATTAGAATGCGTACCAATTTTCAAAATCACACTTCAATTTTTCAAAAATCTAATTTTTTAGGTTCTAGAATAAATTTAATGGAAGAGATTGATAACATAGAGAGAGATATCAAATGGCCTCATTATATGAACCCTATTTTTAAATTAATATTTCTTAAATTTATGTTAAAGACCATCATGTTTTAAAAAAAAATATATAATTAGACCAGTGATTCCTAGATAAAAAATAGAATGGGATGAAATGTCCGACATCCAAAAAAATAGACTATTGACTGGGATGAAATGTCCAACGGTCCAATGACGTGCCCATGCTCCATCTTAATTTGACCATTGAATAGGAGGAAATATAATTAGACCATTGAATGTGATGAAATGTCTCACATCCAAAAAATAGCATAAGTTTGATGTGAATAAAAGCCTGTTCAGTACCACCGTCAAATGTGTGCTTCAAAAGCATGATGAAACATGGGCATGTGGCACTAGGGGTCTTTGATATGATGAAGCATGGGTATGTGGCACTAGGGGTCTTTGAAAAGATGCTTTTAAAGGATCATTGTCGGTTGATTCCCACACTTAAAAAAAAAGGTGCGATGAGCCTCGGTTGCCCCACATTTTAAAAAAAGGTGTGATGAAGTCAAACTCACGCTTTTAAAAAATATGTGATGAAGCCAATATTTGGCTTGATGAGACGTCATAATCAACAGAGTCGGTGAGTTGTGACGTCATAATCAACAGAGTCAATGAGTTGTGATGTCATAATCAACAGATTCGGTGGTTGTGATGTCATAATCAATAGACTCGATGAGTTGTAACATCATGTTACTAATTTACTGTATAGAAATAGTCGGATCCCGTTTTATGGCTGGATCTAGAACAGCCCAGCTGATACCCGATTTAGATTGCCCAGTTCCGGATCGGATCGATGTCTTTTCTAACACTATTATACAATAAGAGCTTGCAGTTATCTTTAGCTATTAAACGGCAAATCAAACAACTTGAGATCTAATGGTGGGTGATTTGTGACCTTGCCAATAATATGGGTATACGATGTTCAAAAGGGAAGAAAAAAAAAAACTCATGATGAAGGTGGCAATGGACACGACGAGTTCGAATATGGGTTCAACTTTTATACCAGATGGATCGAGTCTGGGTCCAAAATACTATTCAGGTATGATCCAAGGCGTTGCCACCCCTAAAAGCAAATAACAATTCACCACAGTTTCTAGCTTTCAACCAATTAAAAAATAAATAAATAAAAATCGAAAAAGCATGTCATAAATGAGCTTTCAAATCACCCCTCGATTCCCACGAAAATATCGGAGATAACCAAAATTGGGTTCCATTGTACAAGGCCAAAGCCCCTTAAAATTTGGGCAAAACATAACGAAATTTCGCCCCCCTTCCAAAAATGCATTGTTAATCCAAGAAAAATAAACCCAAAAGAAAGATCCCAGTGAAAGGGAAAGGCAACAGAGAAATTATCCAACTGTGAACCTATGTTTTTTGTGATAGGTTTTGGAACAACAAACACAATATGAGTAAATAAGAATAACATTTGAAGGAGAACCAGAGTGAGATAGAGTCCTAGATCTTGACCTCCATTCTCACTAAAAGATTTATAAGAGAGAGAGAGAACCAGAGAGAATTATATAAAGGAAGTTACCTGTGAGAGAGGAGGAATTTCCCCATTTTATAGGGGGTTAAGAGAGGCATTGGTTGCTGCTCCATTTGTTCACTAAGTTGCTCTTCACCAACTGTACTTCCCATGCTCTAAATCTCGTTTAAGCCTACAACTCACTGTTTAAGGGGTGCTTATTGAGAGCGACACAGATGGGTATTTATAGAGAGAGAAAGAGAGACAGATTTAAATCGTGTTTAAGCCTACAACTCACTGTTTAAGGGGTGCTTATTGAGAGAGACAGATGGGTACTTATAGAGAGAGAAATAGAGACAGATCTAAATCTTGTTTAAGCCAGGGGTGCATAATGAGAAGACAGATGGGTATTTATAGAGAGAGCAAGAGAGACGGATGTGCCCTGATGCAGTGTTGTTTGAATGTAAGCTGTATTTCTTGTTTATTAATGAAAACGTGTACGGGCCTTCTCCCCACGTTGACTCAAAACAATTAAAAAAACAGAGAGAGAGAGAGAGAGAAGCAGCTACCATTTTTGACCATTGGGTTGGGAGAAGGAAGAAAAAGGTTTGGCACCCCAGAGAGAGAGAGAGAGAGAGAGAGAGAGAGAGAGAGTA